TTAGCTGGACCACGAGCTTCGTCGTGGCTACCCAACCTTTGCTAGGATCGCCATGCCATCGCTTCATCACCCATTAGGAAATGGGTGTGCGGATTGAGTCCCAATTTTGAGAGTAACCTTTCTTCGGACTGCTACAACAAATAAACCAGGTGCTATTAATCCCAGCAATTTTTGCTTGTTTGGGTTTATTTTTTCCAAGGAATTATTACTCTGCTTTGTTCTATCATCTATACACAGGCCTATCAAATGGTGGCCGCATTAACGACGGTCGCATGGTGGTTCGGTCAGTTCCCGTACATAGTTTGGTGAACGCCGTATGTGGAACTTGGACCGACCTGTGAATTCGGGCTTTGTCACGCCTTTACCACATCACGCCCTACATCGACATTGACCTCGACGCTCCGGCCATATCTCTTTCATTATTTACTTCACTTGTATTAAATAAGTAGAAGAATTTTTTTATACATTATTATCTTTATTTGTCATTACTTTTGGTTTGCACTATTTTATATGTGCAGCCAATCGACTCAGACTGAGCCGCGCTGTCGCCTCCTTTGACTGAATTGTGTTGTCGCCTTGGCGCGCCGACCTGCTCCATTACCGTGGTTGGACTGAGGGCTTCATCTTCTCGGAATGCCGAACTCTCCGCTCGGCCACATCGGGCTTGGGGGCTGAGACCTCCTCCCGCACCAAGCTCGGACCGCGTCATCAACGCCGAACACATTAACCAGCTAAGTCGCTTTCATGCTCAAACTTTTAAAATTTCAAATTTTGTTCGGTCCGACCAAGCATTATACTTTTTTAGCAAAAAGTGGTTTGTGAAGGACTTCCTTGTCCAAACTTTGTTTGTGACACACAAATTCAAATACCCCGTTTACTCGGGGGCTTCCTTTATGAAGCATTTCCTCTTGCATATGATTATACCTGTACGACTTTGTTCCTTGTTCGTGTATTACGCCACAATATGCACCATATTGACTTAAGTTGTTCCGTAATCTGGGTTGCCTGGCTCTTATGCTTACCCCTACATTCCCGATTGTTCGGCTAGGGAGTAAAGGGAGCACCTCTGCGATTGTTATGACCGGGTCGTCCGAGCTCTGACCTCAGACTGGGTGAAGCCGAAAGCTAGCTGTCTTACTGTTTTCAATCATGGTCAGCACACAACGGAACTCATGAGTACAAAAAATCTATTGCACAAGTCTCATAATAACAATGATCAACCGAAGAAAGGTATCGGTGGGGGTACTATTTTCTTCGAAGATGCTTCTTACACTTTGTTAGTAATATAGCATAAGTTCCCTGAGTGCGCTTTGTCTGTTACAGCCTTATGGCCTGATTGCCTGGTTACCGGAAACACCGTCGATATTCTCGACAGGTGGAGTACATAACACTTTCGGTCCTTGACTGAAGAGGGAGAAGCCGACGGTCGGTTAAGACGCGTATAAGTTCGGGTGAACATAGATATGATACAAGTACTTCGGTACATACAATCATTATACATAAAATTCTTTTACCCAAGTCACTCGGGGGCTCTTAAATTTATGTGAGCTATTTTATAATAAGTGTTCTTCTTCCTAGTTGTTGCAAAGTCTTTTTTTTCTATCACTCCTTTTTTCGACGCGAGTGTGTGGTCAATAGCCGGATTTCCCTCTCAAAGCAGCTACAGTTTGCTAAACTGGCCTAGCGAGAAGTACTCCGCCTTCGGGATAGGAGGTTGAAGCCGTAGGCTGACCCGCTTGAAGTCTTGAGATAGGATGTGTCATGTTAAAGCACGACAGAAGCACAATTTTTTCTCTAAGACCAATTTTCTAATTGGCACCGAACAATTAATCTAGTTCGGACGTCGAGTTTTTACTTACGTTTTTTGTTTTTCCAATCCTATGGCACTTTTCAACTATTTGTGTGTTTTCCGCATAAGTCTCGTAGTGCAACGCCGGACATCTTTAGAGATTCGCCAAAAAATCTCAGATATTGCTATATATGCATCGGTTTCAAATTGTGTCTTCGGTCGATAGTTGGGTTGCCCGGCTCCTTTGCTTGCCCCCTACATTCCGCTTTGTTCGGTTAGGTGTGCAAAAGGAGAACCACTGCGATTGTGCTTTCACCTCGCATGGTTAAGCACCTCGGTGGAGAAAGCCGAAAACTGACTGTCACAATAAAGCATAAACTGGTCAGCGATCCGATGACTATGTTAAATGACAGGCCATTCATAACAATGGCCGAAGTGTTTACGGCTTGACCTTGGCTGTCGCCGAACACTAAGCGGGGGGCTACTTGCTGGCCTCCCAACTTTAAGCTCCTATGACTAAGTGAAAGTTATAAAGCCCGCATATCTGATTGCCTCGTTTCCGCCAACACATCCGCCTTCGGGCACCGAGATGTCGGCTAAGGGTTGTTTTGTTATTTCGGAAACACCCTGCGTAGCATCTACAAGGGGGTAGAAGCCGACGATGGGCCACTTTCAGATTATAAACGGTCGCAACGGAAGTGAAAATTTGGGTTCATCTAGACCACAGAGTTTGGAAGCTTTTCCCGAACTAAATCCTCAGTATTTTTCTCCCACATTGATCGGAGCTGAGGTTTCATGATCATGCTTAGCATGACAACCCAAAGAAAGGAATCGATAGCGGGACTATTTTCTTTGGACGATGTTTCTTATGTTAAAACAATGATATAACATGTCTCTCTGCATACCTTTGTTTATAAAACCGTATGACCGAATTGCCTTGTTTGCCGTAAATCTTTGCCCTCATAAAGGCTTTATAAAGTGGGACGAACACTCCCCGGCTACTTCCCGAGGAGGTTAAAGCCGATGGCCGGTCAACAAAGTTTTGTACAATGCGGATCCGAGCATTGATGTGATAAAGTACTTGGATCCATAGAATCATTACACATAATTCGTGATTTTACTTTGGATATCGATCCTTAATTCGGCCACCCGTGCCCGCATTAAGGCTCGGGGGCTACTAGGCTTCGTGCTTATTATTTACAAATATTAAAGGGGTACATCGATCCCCTGATCTTGTGTCGCCACCCGACCAGTGTCTCGGGGGCTACTGCATTGACAATCCAATGCAGAAAATTTAAAAGTGCAATATAGTTTTCGAGGAGATTATTATCCTCAGGTTGGTCGGCCGCACCCAACCTGAGTCTCGAGGACTTTGCACACCACGTTTCTCTTCCTATGTATACTGCCGAGCTAGGAGTTGATCCTCAGGCCGATTTCGCACCAACTAGGATCAGCGGTTTCATGTTTTCCTTCAGGTGCATCTCAGGTTTTAGACCGACGCACACACCTTGAGGGCTACTTGCTATATATCTCGGCAGAGAATAAATTGCACCAATCAACAAAACAGCCCGCAGTCAGGGGTGGTGCACCACCTCGAAAGCAGTCCGGCATTAAGCTCGGGCGCCAGTGGCTGGCTCCATAGAGGGCATTTCCGGCATTAAGCTCGGCTAAACTCCTTCAAGTTTTTGAACCCAAATGATCTATGACATCTCGGATATAGTCCGACATTGGAGCTCGGATACAGTCCGGCGTTGGAGCTTGGACACAGTCCGGCGTTACAGCTTGGATACATTCCGACGTTGGAGCTCAGAAGCAGTCCGGCGTTGGTGCTTGGCTGCAAAAGATACCTCGAATGCAATCCGGCGTTGGAGCTCGGACGCAAGAGGACACTGCCGCGGGGGAATAACTTTAAACCTGAGGTGTGGCATAATAATAACAAGGCATTGATAAAGGCCGGAAACTTAAAGGGGCTCCTCAGATACCCGACATATAAACTCTTCGGATTACTTTGCGATCCTCAAGATCGAAGATGAGAAGATTTTTTGAACCAGTTTTCAAGACCGACGACTGAAGATGAAGAATAGTTCGGAAGAATCGAGGAGCGTCCCCAACTTGAAGACCGGTTCAGGGGGCTACTGACGGTGTCCTGGACTAGGGGGTACTCACCACGTCGTCTCCCGACCAGTTAGATTGGGCCGAGGACCCCCATGGCCGAATACTCATGGGCCAGTTCGGACAGTTGACGCATACAAGGAAGATTCCACAAGACTTGGTGATCAAGACAAGGACTCCTCCCCCACCGACGTATTCAGCTTGGACTCTTGTTATCCTAGGCCTCTGGTACATTATATAAACCGAGGCCAGGTTAGTCGATAGAGGATTATGACATTACTCATCATACCTCTAGGGTTTAGACCACAACATATGATCTCGGGGTAGACCAACTCTTGTAACCCCTATACTCATTATAGTCAATCAAGCAGCATGTAGGGTATTATCTCATCAAGAGAGCCCGAAGCTGGGTAAAATCCCGTGTTCATGTTACCGTCGATCCTAAGACACACAGTTTGGGACCCCCTACCCGAGATCCGCCGGTTTTGACACCGACACACCCCACACCTTGATATGTCAACCTCTGACTCCTTCCATCGGTCACGCCATTGTCACATCGTCACCGGCTCCAGGTTGCTTCCGGGTTGACCTCGATGGCATCCCCGAGCCTTATTGTCGCTTGCCACGGCGAGCTCTGCCTTAGAGTTGCGCCTCATCTTCTCTCCCCAACCGACTAACACCAAATCTATTCTCAGTTGCCTTACAAATAGCAAAGGCATTAATCTCTGCAACTATGCGCAATTGTATGAGTAAATTGCATAAAACTACCACATTTTGGTTTCAGAATGCTCACAAACATTATTTAACCACGTGTTTCAGTATGTTCAGTACTAAGATCCACTGCAATTTAGATAGTTTGAGCAAATTGATTTTTCAGACATGGTGGTTTTATGCAGTTTACTCTTCCATATATGCAACTTAATAAGGAGCATAAAAGCTTAATTATTTCAAATTACAAAGTATACATAGTCGTACCCATGTCTTAATTTATAGCATAACTAGCTACAAACCCAGTCATGCCAAACCTTCACTCTTTACTAGTGCATCGTATAAGTGTTTATACACTCGTATCAAGCTAAATTTGGATCTTAGCAGGTTATTAGTGCGTGTAAACATCTCTGCCGTACGTCTTAGACACAGACACTTGACGGCTGCGGGCGAGTGGAGGGGCTTGTGGTGCGTACGCCATCGGTTCTCCTTTGTTGCCGCCGGCCAGCATCCCGCTGATTGCGCCGCTGACCAGGCCGGCGCCCAGCCCCCACCCGAACTCCATGCTGGGGTTGTGATCTGCCGGCAAGTTGGCTGGTTTCGGAGGCGGGGCCACGGCCACTTGGGCGGCTGGTTTTGGAGCAGGCGGCATGGACACCACCTGGCCGTATGGTGACGGAGACGGCGGCATGGACACATGCCCGCCGGATGGCATTGGAGACGGCGGCACGGACACATATCCGCCGGCTGGATTTGGCGACGGCGGCACGGTCACATGCGTGCTTGTCTTTGGAGATGGCGGCACCGCATGAACAGGTGGTTTCGGAGACGACGACGGCATGGTGGCGACATGTCCGGCGGGTGTTGGAGACGGCGGCACGGTGTAATGACTTGATGGTTTTGGGGACGGCGGCACGGCCACATTTGCAGCTGGTTTAGGAGGAGACGGTGGCGGGGCCTCGTATCCAGAAGGTTTTGGAGACGGTGGCGGGGCCACTTGTGCCGCTGGTTTTGCAGATGGCGGCAAGGACACATGCTGCTCGGTTGGGTTTGGAGACGGCGGCATGGACGCCACACGCCCGACTGGTTTCTGAGACGGCGGCATGGACACGGCACGTTCGACTGGTTTCGATGCCGGCGGCATGGACACC